ACCCCGGCCGCCAACGCACTCCTTTACCTTGCTAAGCCAGAAATAACACTGGTGAAGAGGAAAGGTTGGGCATGAGGCTAGCAATCCCATCCTGTAAAATAAGCACTGCTACAGAAACTTCAAGCCACTAGCTTGAAGCCTCCTGTTCCACTGGGGAACGTGAAGGATAAAAAAATGTCTCTTAGTCTACCTTGGTCTTAACCTCTTCACTAATCGTTCCTTGTAAATAAAATATATTTTGATTTTTCTTTGCATCCTAATTTCACTTTTAGTTAGCTTTTGCTTTAATAATTAATTCACTATTATCACTCTCATATGCTCCTTTTGTATATTTTCACACCTTCTTCACACTTGTTAAATTGACACCCAAATACCTTTATTCTCACTCAATAGCAATTTTAACCTTATCAAATTTCTATCTTTGTGCCGTTGAGTACCACGTAATTTACAACTTCTAATTTTCACTTCTAAAGCCACTTCTGAGTAATTATATCAATTATGTCACCCCTATTACTCAATAATAGACCACTATATATTTTTGTAAGTATAAATACGACTGTACAGCCTCTGAAGATAATTGCGTCGATAAAGAAAATTTTCTTCGCTGAATCTGTCTTTTATTTTCTTCATGACTTAATGGCTCTTTTCGGTGAAAATGATAATAACTCTAATCAGCCAAAATGCATGCAATGTGTTTTGACATGGTCATTTTAGAAAGCGATTCTTCATTTCTGCTCTCCTAGAAACGGCTTCTTTTACTCACTGAATAATTCTCTAATGACCCTGGATACCTCAGTTTTTCTATTCCATTTGAATGGCTTAGCCTGCTTTAGCACTCTGAATAATCCCCTTCCGTTATCATGAAGATTATGGCTTCTGACCGAAAACCCGCTTACTGAAATCATCGAAAGGATTTGCAGCTCAGGTGGATTTTTTGCTACTTCAAATATGCGTATGCACTGTTAATGAGACTATCTGTGGTAGCCTCGGATTGACAGACTATTACTGATTCATTTGACAATAAGTGAAGATGAAATGAGGATCTAGCTCGCTGTAAGATTCGAACCACAAGCAACCGGACTACTCATCACCAAATGATTATGTAAACAAATAATCCTTATCTCCCTTTTAATAGGCACAATAATCAGTCATTCTTTAAACAGTGATTGTAATGCTTTATTGTCTTTTTTCTGTAATCAATCACTGTGTCTTTCCTTATGTAAGTAACATGTCATTTAACATTTGTTCAATTTCCAATTTCTGTTTAACTGAACAAATTTGTTTTAATTACTTTTCTTTCATAAACATTATTCATATTTCTGGGGAGAAATGATGACAAAACAAGTTGTAGAAAGGTGTAATTAGTCATCACTATCATCATCAGCAACAACAAAGAAAGTTATCTAAACCAGAGGTCACAAAATACGACAAAACATATGTTCATCTTTTACTGTAAAAGAGATTTCTGTTTCATTTCCTTAAAATCTACTAAGCTCAGTCTGTGAATGTCATTAAAAATAAACAAATGAATAAATAACTGGTGACTAATTCACTTGTTGATATGATTCATCACTAGGCAGAAATTACTAACAAAGGGTACTTCGTTTTGGGCTTAGACACCAGACATCTGTATCCCTAAGTGACGAAGGTAGCCTTATTCTTCTTCTATGAAAATAAACACTGAGATAGCTATTTTTCAATGAATTCAATTATTATGTAAGCTACTAGTATTAGGCATATTGAAGACAGTTTAGCTGTCTAATTACTTTTAGGAGTTTGCATGTTATGGATGAAATGTTGTCACTAAATTTAACTATACATCATTTCTGAGCATTGTAGTCCACTGGGATTAGATGTCCATTCTGGTAAGAGTCAGTCAGCAGAAAAATCTGGACATAGACTTTATGCCTCAGACCATTCATCATAAAGATACATCTGAAAATTTGTAGAAACTAATGTGCCTTCCGGGATTCTAACCTGCATCATTCAATTTTGCAACTAGACAATCCTAAATATTTAAAGCAAAGAATAAAATGCTTCAAATGAATATTTGATCAAAGTTCAAAGTCGGTAAATAGCTACAGAAGGATAGTAGATGGCAGTACTTAGCACTGCGAAGATTCAACCAAAATGTAAGAACGAAATAAGAATAAAATCAAAAAGTATGAATATGAGTAACACTGTGAGAACAACAGTGGAAAGAGTGTGGCTGATGTTTAGCTATGTAAAAATATTTGATCTTAACTTATTCTGAACAGTTTAACCGAACTTTGTGGAGATACACGACAGAAAGTCTAATAGGAACCAGAATGTTTTGTGATAGGATTAAAGAAATTTTACGTTTTTGTTTCCTTCATCTCACTCAAGAGAACATTTAGCTAAAAGCAGGCATAGTACTACCAATGAACAGACGTACAGAGGATCAAGAAAACTTGAAAAAGCACACAGATGGGGCCAAATAGACTGTTAGTACTTCAACCATAACCTCACTACTTTTTAATTACTTGAACAAGTTATATACAATGATTCTTAAGAGAATTCGGAGAAATGAAAAGTTTTCTTACTCTGATAGTCTTCAGTTTTTTTTCGGTGTAAGATGAGAAGTTTTGGTTCGTTTCACTGTTTACATTACATTGTTCCTCTCTACATAAAGCCAGTAACAAACGGAATGGCTAAAAAAATAAGTCCTCTAAAGATTTTAGTGGCTTGCACCTGAACCTGTTAGCTAGTTTTTACTTCAGTGCGAATTCAGAAAATACTTGCTCTTCAATTACCGACAAGTCATAGATACTGGTAGGTGATTTGCTGATGATTGTTAGGTGCTCACTGAATACATTTCTGATTGGTGTCTTCATGGTAATGAGAAAGTAAGTGGGAAATCCCCTTTGATTTTCGATAGTTCATCATTTTGCAAATGAAATTAATAACAGAGAATACTGGCGCAAATCTAAGAATTTCAGTTCCATTCAGCTACTGAATTAGTGACAGATATGCGGTAGGTTGCTTTTTAAACTGTCATATGTAGTTATCACTATAGATTTCACTAACAAAGTGTCATGTAAGAAGCAGTATGCCTTCAGTCTTAATAGTTGAATATGACAAGATATTTAGGTTAAGTGCATTGTATTGTATTTTGCCTATCAGAAGACAATTTGAAAGCAAATAATCCGAAAAAATTCATTACGGATGATTTTTTTCTCCAGTGACACTAGACACATAAGTACACGTAAAAAGAAAGTTCTGTAAACTAGTTGGATTCTTTCCGAGATATATTTAAAAGATAATGGTAAGGAGCATAAACTTATCTTTCAAAACTCAAGTGAATCTGTATAGTTGAACTTTTCAGCCGTACAATACAGACTTAGGATATTTCAGTCTGTATATTTCACATATATATATATATATATATATATATCTTAATATGTGTAAACATTCACACACATTCTGAAAATGATGTTATTCCATCATGCTTGAATGTCAAGTTTGGTTCTAGTTACTGATTGTCTTAAAAACTGTTTTTCAAAACTTTTGTAGCATTACACGCAACTGTTCAGAATGACCAGTAACATGTGTGGTAAAAGCATTCAAAATAGCAGTATCTGTAATTGTTTTGCGTTTTAAGCGGATATGACTAACTTAGCATTTGATTAGATCACGAATCGTTGTCAGCCATAAAAAGCTATGCATATTCATCATGAAAGTTATCTCGAAATTTGTGTTTATCGAGGCTATTAAAAGACGTCTTCAGACAGTACAGAAAGATAATTTTTGCAGTTGCAGTAGACGGTCATTCCACCACCTGTGAGATCCTCTTCATCAGTGATAAAACTACAGTAACTCTCCTGTCCTACCTACTTAACCAAAAATACTATTTTTGATGAATACTGCTAAACTAATCAGGTAAATCAGTGATATCTCTCTCGAAGAATTAGTAAAAAATAGAAATTGGTAAGTACAAAACAGGCAGCGGTAACAGTATACAGACAATTTTTTATCAGCCGTTCAAGCATAATGGCTAAAGTTTCACAAAAATCAAAATGAAACTAAATTAGACATAAAACAGTTATTTAGCTACTACTTGTAAAAAAAAAAACATGGCGGCCTGCTTAAATCACTGGGCTGCTGGAATTCTTATCCATCTAAATGCTTAAACTCTTCTACACTTTTTATTGTTTTAATCATCTAATTATATCAAATGATAACTGCATGAATTCGCAAGCATGTTTAATTAGCTTCAAACTAAACGTTGTGCAATTCTTTACGGAAATGAAGAAAAAGTGCACAGAATTGGTTCTCTCCTTATATGCAACAACACTATCACATGATATACTTCAGATTATTATTTTACATATAAATGCTGTAGGAAGAGGAAACATACTAGAACTGAATACACTGAGAATTACTGTATTATGTGTTCATATATTGTCTAAAGTAAAGATTTATTATTATTATTTAATATGGTTAGATTTTTTTTCAAGTATAATCAATGAAGTACACTTGTTAGATTACATTATAGTTTTCTTCATAAACTAAGTCATTGTCATAGACTACAAGTGATGATATCTTGGGTACTGAGAAAGATGCTGAACAGATATGGTAAAGTTTCATAAAATAATAGCATTATTGCCATAATTTAGAGAACTGCGCTAATATTAGATTCAATCATGACCATTTCAAAGTAGCTAACTAGTATACCAACTGAATAACATCCCATTAAGCGTGAAGCATCAATGCAGCGTCAGTATTAGAAGCCGACATGTCAACATATATGGAATATTTCAACAGGAAATCCAAAATAACTTCAATAAAGCAGTTTTAAGTGTAATTCAGCTGTGTGGACTGAGACAATCAAAAAGCCTATTCGTTTACGCTCCTTACGGACTCATTTTCCAATAACAGAAGCTTGTGCCACCTCCGTTTGGATAAGCAATATTTCTCGTTCGTTAAGAGTGGTTTATAAATACTTATGTTAGTATGTATTAACTATTAAATTAGTTTGTTTAAATAATCAACTTGCCTGGATCATGCACTTTAACTAAGACGAAATCTTTAATATAATTCGCTTCACCACGTTGTAAATGTCTTTGTAAAATACGCCTAGATCCAACTTTCACTTGTTTTAAATCATTTCCCATTGAACCAGTTGAATCAAAGACAATAGCCAAAGAAATTGCAGATATCGGTGATGGTTCTTGTGGATTTGATGCAGTAAAATTGAATTGTTTATCTGGTAAATTTACTAAACCCGGAGTTAATAATCCATATTCACCGGCTCCAGGTATAATTTGATCTGAATAATAACCATAATTGATCACTGATTGTTGACCGAGTACACCATTTTTAATGACTGAGTTATATAATAGTATTAAAATAAAATGCAGTGTTAAATGCTTCAAGTTTCTGTATGTCGTCATTTTACTGTGGAAAAAAGAGGTGAAGAAGGTTTGAATTTTATTTTCTGTTGAAAATCAGTTATGCTATATTTAAAAATTGAAGTTATAGATGATATTCATTAATATGATGAAGAATTGAATTCATAGGTGTTCATAATTGTTTTTCTTTGTTTTTTTGTTTAAATGAGACTGATTCACTGTGTTTAATATACGTCTACTCGAATAGTGTGTGTGCCTGGTTTAAACCAATCCAAAATCCTTATTCATTCAGTGGAAAATTTTCTCCCATTAGTATTGTTCCTTCTTATTATGATGATGGCGATGATGATTTATAATTTTAGCGGTTAGGGTTACTAATATCTACAGGGCACACTGAAAGTGTATATCTCTGTCTTAAAAAAGGCATGTAGAGATGTGTTTGTGTGTATTTCTACTTATCAGTATGTAACTAGGCTGACTAACACTCGAGGTTATTAGGATGAAATCAATGAGTGTACACTTTGAAGACTAAAAGTGTGTTTGTGCGTGTATACGCATACAAGATAGTGAAACAGAAATGTAGAGAAGCGAACAGAGTATTTGTTCAACTAAGTAGTAGTAGGAAAATATGTTTAGCACTAAGAGGAAGTTATGCACAACTATCCTTTTTTTGTATAGGTGTGTGCGTGTGTATGTGCACGGCTATTACAGGCATTTGTTTCTCAAATCGATAAGTGTGTAAAATTATTACTTGATGTGTCATTTCTGAAACCTGAAAAAGTAGATGATGAAGTAATGATGATAATAATATTATTTCTATTATCATCATAGATAGGCATCAGCTAAATGAAGAATGAAAGGTGGTTGCATAGACTTTAACTGCCATGGTTGGACCAGGTTTCAATCATTCTATTTCTCCATACAGTGTGTAATAGGTGAGTGATTATTGCACAGTCAATGTCTACTGTTAAATATCATTTTGTAACCCCAATCTGATTGATATTAACCTTATTTGTATTCAGACAGAAAATTATCATATTTCGTGAATTCATAGAAGTTGCATAACAAAATTCACTTTAAAAATACTAAAGAAGAAACATTTCTATTTTCATATTTACAAAGTTGTGTATGAAATTTCCAGAGAAACATGATTCTTTGCATTCGAACGACTCTAAGATAGACTGATGTTGGAGTCTACACTAGTAAGTAGTCTTAAACTTATTTTTTTTTAAATAGTCAGTTATCGAGTGCTGCTTAGTTTCAAGTAGTTGTCTAACTAATGTCGACTGTTGTTGAAATTTACTTTGAAATATACAGTTATGTGATGCCATCCGTTCGATTTCTTGATTCTGTAATTACACTACTGTAACGCATATAGGGACTTCGAATATATGTGATTGGCTATATATCTATTCAACGTAGTTTTCACTACTAATTGAAATCAGTCAAGGGAGCATTAGGAGTCAGTGATCATTAGATAGCTGTTTCGTCCTGGTTTGCAAATGTTCAACAGTACGGATCCCCAATCTCACCACAGGAAAAAAATCGGCAATTTTAAGTCGCAAGGTGTGTTTGTCTCCATTCTTCCAGTGGGTTGAAACACTGTGATCCACGAATCCTAACTTCTGCGATTTCTTCTCGAAATAACACCGACACTGCCACCAATCTAGTATCTTACAAGTCCACATGTATGCAAACTTCATGGAATTCATCTTTTTTTCAATTATTAGTCAGTGTAGGTTAATATTCACATGTTGGATTCGTTATGTACTAACATAAAGTTGTGAATAAGAAAAGATATCCACTAACGGGATTGTATAGCACTGGCAATATATAGTGGAGGTACCTAGTGGTTGAATCGTAAAACAGTAGAATACTTCAGCCTCGGGACTTTAATGTACGGTTCACATGCTGAAGTGCTAGTAAATGGTGTAGCTAACATACAGTTTGTTTTCAAGTAACATGAGCCACTGAAATGATGGAGAATTCTAAGAAGACTAAAACGCGTTTCATGCCAATTCAGTTTTTCTCAATGGATGCAGAATTTATTGATACAAGAATAAAACTTGTGCACTGTGGTAGAGTATAATTCCATTATGATTACAATTTATTTTGATAAAGTCTCACAGTGTTAAATAGTAATATTTACTGACGACGTTTCGAGCACAATTTATTGCTCATAATCAAGGCGATATGATATGATCATGAGCTGGAATAAATTGTGCTCAAAACGTCATCAGTAAATATATGAGTTTATAAAGCGGTTCATTGAATGCATAAATCTTAGAAAGGAATGAAGAATTACTGGGCAATCAACGAGGTGTCGCTTGAATTGCAGCTATGATTATAACCCCAAACACTTTGTCGTAATTGTCAATATCAGCTCGAAAAATTATATATATGTGCAGCTTGGTAATAAATTTGATGAAAAGAGTTTCTTCTCTGAATCTCTTGTTTCCATGGGAATTTGTTCATGAAAAAGAGACAGTCAGGTTTCTGGGTGGGCGCATTGTTACCCACCCAACCACCTTATTGATAATTCAGTAATTCGCAGTTTCCATCTTCTTGTGTTGTCGTCACATTTTAATATGATGACGACTTCGAGAAATCTAGGAGAGTCAATTTGAAGCTACTCACTAACAAGCGATGGTTGATATTGTTGGTATTCGTTTTTAAATTATACCTTATGGGATTCATAATTGACATACATTTACAATTTAGAGTTGCTTTTACTTTCGATTTTCCCACTTACAAAAATGGTTGTTGTCCACCTGCTTGCCATATCAAATGGTCTAAATTAAGGATGGCTATTTCTGTCTCATGTTAGTTTGTTCATTTGATAGAGGACAGATAGTTATGGTATTATTTACTCAATAACGTTCTGAGCATAACTAATCGTTCACACCCAATGACAGAGTAGTCACAGAACTTCGAAATTAATTTTGAAGAAATTTTCATTTAAGATCACGTTCCTTCATTTATAATGGTTAGAGAATTTCTGAAATATCTGCAGTAGGTATAGAATTCTTCAGCCGTCATGTATGTGATATTAATTTGACAAACAAAGTTTCAGCAATCAGTCTGTTTTTCCCAATTAACTTTTTTCGGTTGTAGAATCTTCACAATGTGGCTTAGTGCCTACGGTGCGAAACATGGGCTTTCTTCCGGATTACATTGACCTTTTTGATAATTTAAATTGTCGACCTCGGTTATAAAAAAAATTAGCTCATATTTCAATTTACAAATAGATATGGAGGACTTCTAATGTCGGCTTGTAAATTAAAGCGAATAGGAGACAGTACTTTGTATGCAAGCGTTAATCAAAGACCACCCAACTCTGATTTTACCTTTCGTCAGGGTATATCTATTAAAGTAGGTTTCATGAAATATCTAAGGAATCTGATAAAGAATCCAAAATGCCTCAATAAAAGATTCTAACATACCCCACTCAAATTTATAAAATTTTCATAAAACTGAAAATGAATATTAATTAATGTAGGTGATAAATGTTACACAAGCTTCTGTAGTAGTGTAACACAATGAAGGCTTACTAGAAAGTATCTTGAGAACTAGTAGCTAACTTCAATCTATATACCAGAATTTAAACTGTGTCTTCACGATTTCTAATGTACCGAACACTCTGTTCAACTAAATACCGACAACATTATATCAAAAAGGCACAAGTGAAGACTTGGGAAATCTTATTAATAGCAGAGTTGAATTTTAAAACACGAACAACAAAACTAACGGTACTTAACCGACCAGTGTTTATCAATGCAAAAATAAATGTTCGATTACACATGGGTAAATATTCACTAAGCATGCATAAAATCAGTCTCTGTTAGTGCCTAAGACAGGTACATGAATTCGTTTTAGAAATGTTTGGTTAGAGTTAGTAGAGGGGTAGACCACGTTTACATAAGATTCTTTAAAAAAATAGCTGGGATTAGAGGGGAATTTAAACCGACAAACTTACTCAGAGAGAAACTGTACTGGATGAAACAGATTGCAGTAAAAATCAGGCAAACACTTGAATATATATTAGATGCTGTGTAGTGATTGTAAGTTCAAGTGAAGACAGTGGATTAGGACCATTTAGGATATTCAGCTAACTACAGACTGTCGAATCCTTGTAAGGAAAATGAGTAATCTGAAAGAAATCTCAGCTGTCTCGCTACAAGCACTAACTTATAATCCCACCATAGAGTGGGTGAGATAAGTCGAAAGTTCTAAAATCTGAAATATTTAATTGGGGAGACATATTGATTACTGAGTCTCTAATTTATCAAGTGAACACCAAATATGTGTAGGCGAAAGGATTCAACACACGCTGCAGATATCTAGGAAATTCTGTCTTGAGATCAAGGGAGATAAACAGTTTCCGTTTACACGAATATTTTGTGGTTTTACTGTGGTTAGCAAACCTCTTAAATAGTTGATTTAAATCAAGTAGTTTATTAATAATTGGATTATATGAGTAATGAATGTTATTCTGGGGGAAGATCACCAGTCATGGTCGTTTTTCTGGGAAGTGAAAACATGAATTTATTCAGTTGCCCAGCTATGTACTAAGGCGTTCTTATATTATATTTCAATTAGTTTAACTCAGTAGTCGAAAGGTACATTGCACACTGTTATTCATAACAAAACGTGTAATGAAACATCGAAAGTAATCAACAACGAAGTTTAATGTAACAAACTGTCTGGATTGATATAGAAAATCAGTATTATTCGAATAGGTTAATGGAATCAGATGTATTAACATATGAAAGAAAAACAAAACAAAATCAAACTAATTTTATCAGAATAGGAAATACGAAAAGAAGAAGACTGATGGAATGGTAAGCTAACGGTATATTGATTTCGGCAACCTTTAGCTTGTTGTTGGCGCCCTCTCTCTCTCTCACACACACACACGCATGCACAAGCACGCACATATAAACATGTATGTATGTGTATATTTAACTGTGCCAAATCCTGTTTAGACACAGATGGAAATTATTTACACCGGATTTTCATGCTTCTTTCACCTTTATTCTTTA